GGACAGTTGCCTGGGACACAGAGAAGGCCCAGCGCTCCCTTCCTCCGCACCCCCTGAGGAGAGAGGTTCAGCCTCAGCCAAACTGACAGCAAAGCCACACTGTGCAACTGCCTGCCTACCTCCTGTTCCCTGACCCCTCTGTCCCCACCAGACCACACCACTTCTGGTTCTCTGAGAGCACAATGCTTCCATGCATTATTCCATCTGCTCCTGCTCCCTGCGTCTGCCCTCATGGGATGCTGGGACCTCGGTCACTAAAATTGTCACTCTCAATTTTTGACCTGCCTTTCTCCCCAACCAGGCAACAAGCTTGAGGTTATGTCTTAGTCCGTTTTCTAAATCCCCACTACCTAAAACAGTGCCTGGCATATAGTAGATACTCAATAAATACTCCATGACTGGCTGTATGGACATGAGGAAACACAATCAAAAAGATAAGACACGGAGCCCCCACATGCTTTTCCAAGCCTGTTTCCTTATCTATGAAAGTTGTAGTAACTCCCTTCAGGGCCAGAGATGATGGAAATAATCTATGCAGAGTGTGTTTACTCCTAGGAGATGCCCAATAAAAGGCACAGACAGAACAGCAAACTACACTGAAAGAAGCTCTATATTTAAACAGCCCCAGCTTGGGAGGGCGCTGCCTCATCTGTTCTCCTGTTCTGTGGTTCCTATGGTGAAAATTGTCTTTCTCCTGTCTCCACCTTTATCTCCCTGTGCACATGCTCTGCTCACTTGCAGGAGCCCTGTTCTCCAATCTATGTGACAATGCAACAGGCCTTTATGAAACCCTCCAGAAGGCTTAGATCTGTACCAGTTTGCAAGCTCAGGTCTGCACCCAAGTGAGAGTTTATGGAACCTCTGCTTTCCTGACCACAATGATCCCATAGCCCTCAAATCCAGAGGATGCCTCAGTCTCAGCAGTTTGGCAGAAGTAGCTGGCCACCCAACCTGTCCAGAAGAAAAGGATTCCACTTTTCTGCATGTCAGCCAAAAGAGGGCATCTCTCTGGTTTTCCTCCCTGCAGCCCCCACTCCCAGCTCTCATCATCCTCCTCTGACCAGGCTAGGGCTGGGGTCCTCCCACATCAGAACTGTTCTTACTCCTCCTCCCCACCCTGGGAAGCTGGGAGCCCCCAGGCCTGCCTGGCAATGACATCTGTTCTGCATCTGGAATTCTGTGTCAAGTCTGGTTGCTGTACCTCTGAAACCATGGAGGCCAAACAGGAGAGGGAGGGTGGGGCTGGGTGGAGAAGGGTGGATTCCAGATTTCAGACAGACCAACTAAGGGGCCAAGCCCAAAGTTGATCATTTCTTATGTGAGGGGGCGGGAACGCACAGAGGTTAATCTTGGGTATGTGTGTACCAAATTCTGAGAAAGTGGCTGCTTCAAGAGCCAGGAGACTGGTTCCAACCCCAGCTCACTCCCTATCCATGTAACTTTAGGAAGTTACATAGTTTTCCCATCTGTCAAATGGGCTCATGCTAAAATTATTTCCCTTCAGTGCTGACATTGCATGATATGCTAATTGTGAGACTGTTTAACCTGAAAGAGGAAGGTAGTGCTAATTTACACATAATGTGTGAATAGGGCCATTAATAGGGCCCTGAAAGCACAAACAGGATCAATGATGATTCTTTAACCTCTGATTAAGATTCATGTTTAAGAGAGACTATGTTTGACCTGGCTCCTAACTCTCAGACAGAGCCATCCCAACACCCCAACTGACTGAGGTGGGCCTTTGGGCCTCTGAGGTGAGAAAGTGACGGAGGGGAGACCTCCCAGAGGAAAAGAAAGCAAGTATCATGTTCTTAAAGCCTTCTTATTACTGATCTTTGGTTTTGTCACCCCCCAAATTATAACTGGTTGAAAGGAAGAGCCCCATTCTTACATATGGTGAGAACAGCAGCATTTCACCACCTAAGAGTCTAGAAAAGGTTAACCAGTCACTATCCTGACCCCAACACCAGTCCTTTATTCTGCCACACTGAGGTTACTGAGGTGTCTATTATACTTGACTTCCCTCACCCCCTGCAAACTCAATCCATCCTCTAGTCTTACTGAGTCCAATTCCTAAATATTTCTAGAACCTGGCTACTCTTGCCATCCCAGCTGCCACTACACTAGTTGCCACTATCTTTTCTGGATTACTCCAACAGCCTGCAAAGAAGCTGGAACTTCCTGCTTCCAGTCTCGCCCAATCAATTCTCCACACTAGCTGGAGCAGGCTGATGCAAAGTTGATCTTAAAACCTGCCAAAGGCTCATGAGGGCTCTCAGGCCAGAAAACTTGGTGGAGTTTATCAGATTCTTCTGAAGCTAGATCCAGCGCCCCTCTTCAGCCTTTTATCTTGATACTGGCCTACCCTTCCCCAAGCTGCCCCATTCTCAGCCCTTGTGCTCCAAAGTCCAGCCAGATTTACCTTTGTGTAATGTTCTAAACCAAGCCACCTCTGACAGTTTGCATAGGCTGTTCTTTCTAGAAAACCTTCCCCATCTTCAGTCTCCTTCACAGGGCTAACTCAACCTCTACATTGAGTTCCAATCCTTTCCTGTCCTTCCGAGACTGGCTTAGGAGCCCCTCCTCCCATTCCAAGGCAGGTTCTAGCCTATCTGAAGTCCTCACTCCCACTTCTACCCCACCCCTAAACTGGAAGTTTTGCACCAGACACCAGGTCTGGCTCCTTATTTACTATATTCCAGGTACATGCTAGCCTATCAGAGGTGGTCAGTAAATATTTGGTGCATGAATGAATGACCTAGGTGCTGGCCTGTGGAGCTTTGCATACTCAAAAGATTTGCTCCAGCCATGCACACTGCTACCAGAGGAACTCCAGTTAGGGCCCTGCCTATGCACTCTGGAGTAGGGAGAGGCCAGGTCTCTGAGGCAAACTGAGCCCTTTACCGCTGGGGCCCACCCATATTCAATAAAGCCTTAGTGTAGTCCCAACCAGAATAGGTTGACCTGAGCTCCTTCCCGGAGCTCCTGAGAGAGCAGAAGAGGGCGGCCCAACTACCGGGCAGAGGCTTCGTGGCACGTCCACGCCCCCTTCACCTGACAGGGGGGTGGGAGCTCATTCCCCTAGCGCCGCCACTGGGACCCAGGCTCCAGGCAGACCCCAGCCAGGTCCGCATTCAGGAGAAGGGTCCGAGCAGTTCTCGCACTTTCCCACCCGCTGTTGGGGTTTCCTGGAGACGGGCTGGGGCCGGCCAGGCGGAGGCTCCTTCCCCTTCTTGCGTCCCAGCCTCCCTCCCACGTGGCCTGGCTGAGTCTCTCTGGAAAGCCGCAGCAGCTGGAGAGAAATCCCCCTCCCCACCCCCACTTCCAAGTCCCTCCCCGATTCGCCCCGGACACATCCTCAGCTCCCCCCTCGGCAGGGAAGGCTAGAACTAGGCGAACAAAGCGGGCAGCCCATCCCCCTCCCAGCCCTACAACTTACCTTCCCCAAGGGCTGCCCCCCCCCCAATGCACACCAGACAGAAAGCGAGAGGGTCGGGGGTAGAAGAAGGAGCCCTAAGTTTACAGACTTGGGACTGCGTAACCCCATCCCCAACCTTTTCTCCAGCGTGGACAACTCTGACTTACCGCCACCTCCACCCCGCACAGAGGTGGCCCCGAGGCCTCCTCTGCGATCCCCTGATCTCCTGGGGGCTGGGGCAGGCGTGACACGCGTCCCATCCCAAGAGCGAACGTTGGACACGTCTACGAAAGCAACTGGTTTCCTCCCTGTCCTCCAGTCCACTCCGGGCCTCGGGCTTGGGGGAGCAACACTAGCGCCCCAAAGCCCCAGCCAGTTCCAGGGACCACACCCACTAAGCAAAGTTGAGTCTTTGATCACCCCCACCCCCACCCCCACCCCCAGTTCATCTGGAATCCCCTGCTCTGCGCCCCCACCAGGGGCAAGACACTCCCCAAAGCCAAGGCCAAATATTAGCTCAGCCCAGTAAACACAATTACACACGCTCCTGACACAAATGGAGGGGCAGATACACACCCTCACACCCCTCCTCTTCCACACATATCCTCCACCCGCAGACACGCGCGGGCATGGCAGAACCCGCCCCCCGCAAGCCGCCAGCCCCGCAGCCACGGCCCCGCGATGCCAGCCACGACCGTGGCACGCACTGCGGACACGTATGCCCGCAAAAGCCCTCCTCCCAGCCTCCGCGCGCGCACACTCACTCACACACTCACACACACACACACACTCGCTCACTCACTCCAGACTCCGCACACCAAGGACACACACCCCCTGCGGACAAGTAGCGCCGCAAACGCCCCCGGGCCGGAGCTCGCAGACCCCCAAACGCGGGCATCGCGGCACGAGGGCGCGCAGCCCGCGCCCCGCGGCCCCCGCCCTCGCCGGGACCCGGGGCGCACGCCCGCCCCAGCCCCGCAGCCCCGCAGCCCCGCAGCCCCGCAGCCCCGCAGCCCCGCAGCCCCGCAGCCCCGCAGCCCCGCAGCCCGGCTCGGGCGCGCCCACACCCGCCGCCGCCCGCGCCCCGCCGCGGCGCTCGCCCTTACCGCGCGCGGCCAGCAGGCAGAAGGTCAGCGCGAGGAGCCCGCCGCCGCGGCCCGCGTCCCCCCGCGCCATGGGGCCGGGCAGGGCCGCCGCCGCCCCGCGCCTCGGCAGCCGCCGCCGGGGGAGGGCGCGCCGGGCGTCAGTGGCCCGGGGAGGCGCGGCGCCGCGGGCGGGGGCGCGGCCTCGGGGCCCGGGCCCGAGCGGGGGCCGGCGCGGGGCCGGGGCTGCTGCCGCCTCGCCCGCCCCTCCATCGCCATCTTGGGCGAGCAGCCCGGGCGGGGGCGCCCGACCGGTGCGGCCACCCGGCCCCGCCGGGGACCCAGGGCCCGCGCCGTGACCCTGCGCTGCCGCGCGGGGACTCGGCTCCGCTGGGGTCCGCGGCTCCGCTGGGGTCCGCTCCCCGGTGTCTCGCCTTTGCTTGGGCTTCCCGGGGCCCCTGTTGGCTCGCTTGTTTCTGGGTTTGTTTGTCCTTAGTCACCCTGTTGCTGCCTCGGTGTCTCCGGTTCCTTTCCCTGGCGTTGCCTCAGGGCCTCCTTCATCTCGGTTCCAGCCTCAGTGGAGGCTTAGTCAAGGTCTGGGTCTTCTGCTGATGACTCCATCTTACCACCTGAACCCGGTCCATTCCAATCTAGGTTTCGCATCAACCCAGGTACGCCAGCTGACCCACTGAGGCCATCCACGGCAGTTCTTTCCTCACTCCCATGTCCATTGCCTTTCCAAGCCTGGAGCTTCCTTTGGCCTCCTTCCCTTGCGCTTGCAGTAATCAACCCCAACAGGGCATTTACTCTACCCCAAGCCCCACGCCCCATCCGGGTCACTCTGCAACCCTGGGAGGGACAAGGAAAGTTTGATTGCTGCTGATTTGCACTCGGGGAAACGGAGGCTTGAGGAGGTGAAGTCACTTGCCTGAGGACATGAGGCTAGGGAACAACAGATGCAGACCTGGTTTTCTGACTCCAGAAGGTCTCTTCCCACTCCTTCTTCACCTAAGCTTTCTCTAACTGCCCTAGCCAGACTGGTTGCCTCAATATCCCACAAATATTTTTCAAAGCCAGGTATTGAATCATTAGGTGGGATGAAAAGAGGACAGAATAAATGACCCTCTCCAGGTTCCTTCCATGAACAAGATGCCATGGTCCGTTGTTCTCTGTATCTCTGTGGTTTCTAGGACTTAGAGCCATTTATCTCTGTATCCAGCAGACCCCTAACATATCTGTTGCTGGTTAGTAATACCTGGGATACCGAAATCACAGGTTTTCAGGCCTAGTCTCCCAGCCAGGAAGGGATCCCAGGCTGCAGATGCAGTGCTGAGTCCCAGCCACTAGACCACCATGGGTTGGTGTCTCTCGAAGCTGCAGCAGGAACTTTGCTGACACTCAGGCAAGCAGCGAGAAGATGCAGATTTGCTTAGAGAAAGAAAAAGTTTATTGAGGAGAAAAGGAACAGAAATAAAGTGGGACTCCCAGGCCGGTGGAACCAGGCTAAAGAGGGGCAAGGAAGCCAAAGTGGAGTCATGTCTCTGGGAATATATACCTTCTTTCCCTGATTATTCCCTGATTATAAAGCCCCACCAGTCTCTTTGTGATTGGTTAGTTCTCAGTGGTCTCACTCACTGCCTAAATGTCTCTGTGCCCAGAACTAAGTCTTGGGAATGTCCTGTTGACCTTAGTCCTGGGGTGTTTGACTATCTCCCATCAAAATCAGTTGCCCTTTCCTTTATTCCTCTTGTTGTGCTTATCTCTGGAGCCTTCCTTAACTCTCCTGAAGTTCCCACCTACAATGTCCCTAAAACTACCTGATTATCCTAACTTACCCTATGACTCACCTGTACTACGGCAGATCTAACAGGATCTAGCATTTGTTCATTCATTGTCAGGCCCATCAGGAACATTTGACTTAGCCCATAACTCCCATTTGCTTCTTTTGGTGATGGCATCTGATTACCAAGGCTTTAAATAATATCTTTATACTCAAGGTGCCCAAGTTTATACCTCTGATTTGGACCATCTACCCTGAACCCCAGACTTGGGTATCCAACTTCCTCATCAGCATTTCCATTTGTTGTCTAATAGGCGTTTCAAATTTAACATGTCCAAAATTAAAATTAAGCTCTGATCTTTCCTATTAATTCAGCTCCCCCCACAGTCTTCCCCATCTCAGTTCATCCTGCTGCTCAGGTAAAAAATATTGGAGTCCTCTTTGACTCTTCACTTTCACATCCTTCATGCTCCATTTCCCACTGCCTCCTTGGTCCAAGCACTGTCACCTCTTAATGCAACATCTTGTTGGGGGCCTCCCCTGGTGGCGCAGTGGTTCAGCACTGGTTTGTGAGGCTGCCTGCAGCCTCTACAGCGCCAGTTCGATTCCCGGCCACCGGCGAGGGTCCCACCAAAAAAAAAAAAAAAAACAGTATCTTGTTAAAATGTGAATGAAATCGCCACTCTTCCCACCAGTGCCTTATTACGATGAGAACACCTGTCTGGTCTGGATGTCTACTTCACCTCTCTGATTTCACCTCCTATCTCCTCCCTTTTGTTTACCACCACCTGCACACTAGCCTCCTTGCTGTAACTTGATCTTGGCCAGCCCGCTTCCCTTCAGTCTCAAGGCCTTTACCTAGCCAGTGCAAGTCTGGAAATTTGTCCCCCCAGCCCCCAACCTTACAACTTCGCCCACTTTCCCTAACCACCTTCTTTCTGACATGTTCTATATTTTACTTGTTTTATTTATAATTGTCCCCTCATCCAAAATATGAACGTCAGGGCCTCCCTGGTGGCACAAGGGTTAAAGATGCAACTTATGAAGCTGTCCACAGCCACTGCAGCATGAGTTCGATCCCCAGCCAGGAAGCTGCCCACATGTCACAGCAGACCTCTCCTGATTTGCCCGCTGCTCCCCTCAGCAGTTTACTTCGGTCAATTTGCCTGTTCTATTCCCCCCTCTGTCTCTGGTGAATCCTATCACCCCCCCACACACACCTCTGGCCTGCACCCCAGCTCTGTATGCATAAATAAATAAATCTTTAAAAAGAAAAAAGAAAAATAAGAGGGTTGAAGTATGAAGCATATTTCTCCAAAGAGGTCCAAAGAGATCGCACCATAAAAAGTGAAGATGGCACGTTTCTTTCTTTTTTAAATCAATCAATAACATATTGTATTTCCCCTTCCAAGTGGTACTATGGACTACCTCCAAGTGTGTCTGGGGTGTTTGTGAGTGGCAGGCATGGAGGGCCCATGAAGATGATCCAGTGAGCATTGTTGGCCTCTATTGTCATGGTGTTTACCATTAGAAGCTTAAATAATTGTCAGTCTCAGGTATTTCTGTATTACTTAATTGATAGCCATGTTGGCCCACAAGAAATATACGACAGGAAGTATGAGGAACATTGATGGCAAAACTACAAAAATCTGATGCTGAGGAGAAAATGATAATTTTGCAAATTTGCCTCAAGTGAACCCTCATCAGAACAGAATGTTATAATCTTCTGATCCAAAGTCATTAATCACTAACAAGTCAAAGCCAATGTTTAAAAAAATAAGATCTGATGATATTCTATCTGTTTGTTTATTAGAAAGGCAGACCAAAAAAATTTAAAAAAGAAAAAATTAGACCATTCACAACATGTTATTTGTGGGGAAGTATTTCCCAATAGATCCTAAAATCTTTTACTTCACGCTTTAGAGGAAAGCTAAAAATTTTTAAATTTAAAAATATATTGCACAAAATGCAATCATATCATGAAAGCATTTTTTTAAAGATTTATTTATTTATTCATACAAGAACTGGGGTACAGGCCAGAGGAGTGTGGGGGGGGTGAGAGGATTCACCAGAGACAGAGTGGGGAACAGAACAGGCAGATTGACTGAAATACACTGCTGAGGGGAGCAGTGGGTGGGTCAGGAGAGGTCTGCTGTGCCATGTGGGTAGCTCCCTGGCTGGGGATCAAAGTCGTGCTGCAGTGGCTGCAGATAGGTTTGTAGGTTGCATCTTAACCCCTTGTGCCACCAGGGAGGCCCCCAAAAGCAATTTTTGATGCTATAATATCCTTAAATTTCAACCTAATGTTAGTCCCCAGGGCCTCCCTGGTGTGCACAGGTTTAGTCTCAGTGCTATCAAGCTATCACCAGCCACTGCAGCACAAGTTCTATCCCCGGCCAGGGTGATGATCCACATGATGCAGCAGACCTCTCCTGTCTCACCTGCTCCCCGGGCTGTTTTTGGTGAATCCTCTCACCCCCCACACCTCTGGCCTATATTCCAAGTTCTTGTATGCATAAATAAATAAATCTTGTAGGGGGGGCCTCCCCAGTGGCGCAGCGGTTGAGCGCTGGGTTGCGAAGCTGCCCGCAGCCTCTGCAGCGCCAGTTCGATCCCCGGCTGCTCCCCGGCCATAGGAGGAGGGTCCCACATGGCGCGCAGACCTCTCCTGCCGCCCGCTGCTCCCCTCAGCAGTGTACTTTGGTCCCTCTGCCTGCTCTGCTCCCCGCTCTGGCTCTGGTGAATTCTCTCACCCTCCCGTGCTTCTGACTGTACCCAGTGCTTGTATAAATAAATAAATACATCTTTAAAAATAAAAATAAAAAATAAAGGTGACCATCCAGTCCTTGACCATCTAGTCCTCCCGAATCTGTCTATACCACTCAGTAGGTACTGGATTCTATCTGCCTTGTACAGCGGTTTCTTTACTTACATAATTAATATATCTTAGTCTTGTGTCTCAGATGACACTGGAAGCTCCTTGAGGGCAAAAATAGCATCATACAGGTAGTCATGCTTATTACATTTATAAACTATTTGCGTGGAAATTAGGACATATTTCCCTAAATAACTAACCCTACAAATGATAGCTATGTTCTCAGACTAGTCAATCAAAGTCTATTTAACTCATTAAATATCTGAAATGTTGTATTTTGGCAATGGAAATATATTGCAGAAAAACATTGGAAATACTCACAATTAGGCAAAACAGAAAAATCAGTGGAAAGATAGACAAGTTTGGGATTAAAAAAGATAATTATTTGCTTGTTAAAACAGAAAGTTCTGCATGAATGAAAATGATTCAAAGTTTATTACATGACTCATCTCTGAATACATTTACAGAGTCAGGATGATGTTAACACTGAATATTGGTCTCAGTAACACTACAGCAGAACTATATTGAAAAGATGAGGGGAATAGAAAGTTTGTGTGGTGGAAATGGAGGGAAAGCAGCTAAGTTCTGATCTTTAGTAGTGGGCTGTCACTAGATAATACGTAAATACACTAATTGGGGGCCTCCCTGGTGGCACAAAGGGTTAAGACATAGCACTGTGAAGCTATCCTCAGCCACTGCAGCACAAGTTCGATCCCCAGCCACGGAGCTACACACATGGCGCAGCAGACCTCTCCTGACTCACCCACTGGTCCCCTCAGCAGTGTATTTCACTCAATTTGCCTGTTCTGTTCCCCACTCTGCCTCTGGCCTGTATCCCAGTTCTTGTATACATCAGTAAATAAATCTTAAAAAAAAAAAAAAAAAAAAAAAACCAGTAACATTGCAAACATGTTATTCAGAGATTTGTTTTACAACCTGAAAAGAAAGGGTGATGCAGGTCTCTGTCTTGTTCAAGTGGGCACCCTCCTGCCCGGAACTGTCCCTTCCTCTGAAACATTCCCTCAACATTGTTCCGTTTGCCTCGTTCCCCTCACCACTTTGCTGTACTTGACAGCCAGTCTCCGCTGGAACCATTGCTCCTTCACACCCACCTTTGCTCAAGGTCACCCTGC